AGCCTCTGACTTTGGTGAGGTGGTCAGGGCCTGTGGGAAGGGTTTCCTGGCTGAAGGAACAGCGCCTGCAAAGGCTGGAAGGCCAGCCCGCCGGGCTGCAGGGGACAGGCTGGGGTGGACTGGGCCTCTGCAGAAGTCTCCGCCTGTATTTAGCCAGGTGATCGGGAAGGGGGAAGGCGGACTAAGGGGCGCAGAGGTTGATGCTTAGCTGAGCATGTACTGGGTGCCAGCACCTGTTCAAGGCCTGGGGGTGGTGGGGACACAAGCGCTTGCATAAGTGCCTGACAAGCAGCAAAGTGAGAAGAGGGCTCGTCCTCCGTGAGGTGAGCAGAGAGGCTCAGGGCAGCCTCGTGAGGTCACCCAGCACCAAGAGGGAGGAGAGAGACCTGGGCGTGTGGGTGGGGTCAGGAAACAGGGCCAGAGCTGCTGGGCAGGCATCTTGCTGTCCCCAGAACGCTTTTGGGCCAGGCCCCTCCTCGGGGACCCGCTGGGAGGTTCAGGGGGCCATTTCCGGGGCTGCCCCTAGGCTCCAGGCTGGGTGTCCGGGAGCTTCAGGAAGCGCCATTGCACAAGACTGGGCCTGCCGGCCACCAAGTCCCTGGGCCCAGCCAGCCGGCTTCTCCTGCAGGGCCAGAGCCTCCCTTGGGCGCTGTGCCCACTCCTGTTCTTCTGAGGCTCTGATTGTCCCTTGTCTGGGCCGCACGCTGGTGCCGGTGGTGTCTGGGGCGTCACCATTGTCCTCACCGTGCCTGGCGCCCCAGACACACCCAAAGCGCAGTCACAGGGCCGCGCACACTAAGCTCACACGACCAGCTTAGGGGGAAGCGCTGTGGCTTCCTCGCCAGGAGGCGGCCCGTGTGCGGTGCTGTGACCTGCGGCAGTTGCTCCCGTGAGACAGATCTAGCAGACTCATCTTGCTGATCTGGTCACAGTCACTGTGACCCCACAGAGGGTCCTTAGCTCCTTGCTTGATGTACAGCAAGTGCTCAAGGCCAGAAGCCTATGTTATTGTTTTGGAGTGGGGGTGTTGAGACAGGGTCTTGCTGTGCCCTTTACTTTGGCCTCGAACTTGCAGCAATCCTCCTGCCTCAGCCTCCGGACTGCAGAGATTACAGGCGTGCGCCACCACACCTGGCAGCTTCTGTATTGTAAAGCTTGGGTTTTTGGAGCATATGTAATCTGTGCATAACCCGTGTGCGTGAGGCACAGTTCAGAAATGTCCGAGAACACTCAGCACCTCCCTCCCCCAGGCCCCAGCTCCCTGAAGCTATTGTGCCCCACTTGTGTTTTCTTTTGTGGCAAAACACAGACATTCTTCTGCACCTTTCCCCCTCCTCCCTTGGTACGCCCAGGAGGAAGTTCCCTGTCAGGAGATAAAGGGCTCTTTCTTCCTACTGCCTGGGCTGTAATTATTTAACTAGTCTCCTCCCCTTCTTCTGGGCTTCAAAGTCCTTTAGATCTGAGCTTTTCTTTTCATTGTAAGGACTCTGCTGGCACATTTCTGTCGTTGTTTTTAATCTCTAGACAAAGTTTTGCTAGCTGAGTTGCCCACACTGAACTCAAATTTGTGATCCTCCTGCCTCAGCCTCCCGAGTAGCTGGGATTATGGGCACATACCACTGTGCCGGGCTTTAATGGCATAGTTGCTCTGTGCCTTTGGGTCTGGATCTTCATGAGCCTGCATGCCCTCCTACACTTGTTTTCATGACCTTTTTCTTTGCTTTTCTCTAAAGTGCTCTACCCCAAGCCACACCTGTCTTTTGTGTTTTATCACTGGAGTTTGAACCCAGGGCCTCCCACACAAGTACCCAGTCTTCCCCTGCCCCCCTCTCCGCCACCCCACGCACCCCCACCGCCTCCTGCCGTGACCTTTTGCTGAGATCTTACTTAGATCCAGTACACTGCACAGATCTTACGCGCATGCCTTGATGTCTCACACACTCACGCTTCCTGTTATGCACCGAGATGCCCCGGTAGAAAGCGTCCCCTGACCCTTCCAGTCAGTTCCCCCAAAGGAAGCCACTGCTCTGATTCCTGTTGCCAGAGACCAGTTTTGCCTGTTCAAGTCCAAGGCCGCCCTGTGACTCAGCCTGAGAAACGAGGACAGATGTCACAGACGGGCAGCAGTGGAACTCTCCAGCGGGCAGCCCCCAGCCATGTCCATCTCCCGGTGAGGAGCTGCCAGACCAGGCTCCAGCCAGGGACTGAACCCACACGTTCCCGTAAGCTGGGTCAGGCCGGGCCCTGAGCGGAGGAGGGTGGCGATCCAAGCACAGCCTCTCCTGTATCTTTTGTTTTTGTTTGTTTGTTTTGGTACCTTGATACCGGGATTGAACTCAGGACCTTGTGCTTGTGAGCAGCAACACTGAGAATCCCCCCATCTTTCGCTTTTTTGGTACGTAGTCTCATTTTGTAGTCCAGGTTGGACTCAAACTCCGGGTGATCCTCCTGCCTCGGCCTCCCTAGTGCTAGGATTACAGGCGTGAGCCACCACGCCCAGCTTCCTGTGTCTTTTGACCTCTGGATCTGTCCTCTCTCATGCTTAAAAAAATAACAGTCACTGGAGGCTGGGGATTTAGCTCAGTGGTGCAGCCGCCTGCCTCACAAGTGGAAGGTCTGGAGTTCTATCCCTGGTACCAAAAAAAAAGTCACTGAAGGGGTAGATTAAGGGGTGCGTGTGCAGGGTGATACTGTCACACTGCCGGTGATTTGGTGCGGGTGCCCGAGGTCTCTGAGACCCTGTCCCTGTGCGCCTCCTGTCCTCACTCGCAGGGCTCTGCCTGTGAGTCCAGTGTTACCGCGTCCACCACGGGGAGCCGATGTTGGTGCTGGGGACTGTGTGGCCCGCACCCTCGTTTACCCCTTTGAGGCCCCTCCCAGGCCAGCCCAGCCAGAGCCCTCGAAGCCCATGGTGCCCACATCATTATAGTGCTTGGAGGCGCCTCTGACCATGTGGCCTTGGCCACTGCACAGACTTGCTTCCTGCCTCAGCCTCCTCGCTGGCCAGCTCTCAGCATCAGCGTGCAGTGGTTGTGTGGTGTGTCGTGCTCCGCGAGGGGCAGGCAGGTCCCTCGGGCTCTCTGTCATCCTCCGGGATGCCCGCAGTGACGAGTTGTGACAGAATGCAGAGACAAAAGCCGTGTCCCGCGGGGCTCTGACGCTTGTCTGGGGGGCCGTCTCCCCGCTGTCCCACCTCCTCCTGTCCTTGCTGGCCCTGCTGTCCAGCCCGTCCCCAAGTCACGGCCTCCTAGTCTGCCCTGGGTCCGCTCCCCTCTCACCCCCCTCTTCCACCCACAGTAACCACGGTTACCTCTGTTATAACCCGGCCTGGTGGCCAGCACCGCTCTCGCTGGGCTGCCTGCCGAGGGCACCTGGCCCTGCTGCCCGTGGGGATCCCAGGTGTGTCTGGGCCTGTGTCATGTGGTCACCGCTGCGTCCCCACACCCCACCATGTGCTGTCTGCCTGCCACCCACATGCTACACGAGGCTGTGTGTTCCACTGGGTTCCAACCCCAGCGTGGGCTGAGCACCGAGCTCTCCCCTGGGACCTTCCAGGGCCCCCCAAGTGCGCCCCCCTCCCCCGCGGGGACAGACGGCGGCTGGGACATCCTTTGCTGGGTCGCTGTATGTGCGCATGTATGCTCAGTAGCAGTGGTTGCGTGCTCGGCAAGATCTCACTGTGCTTGCTGCCTTGGCTGGTCTCGAGACTTGGGCTCAAGCGATCCTCCTGCCTCAGCCTCCCCAGTACTGGGATTACAGGGGTGGGCCACCCCCACCAGCTGCTTCAGTGTACCCTAAACATAAGATTCTGAGTGGCTGCAGGCATGTTTGTTTTCGTTTCTCAGTGGTAGAGGGTGGCTGATGGGCTTCTCGCGCTGCTGTGGTCCAGGTGTATTGAGGACGGTGCTGGCCGCTTTTGTTTTCTAGGATGGTTGTGCATTTCCACGGTGAAGTACGTGGGGGTCACTTAAAACCTGCCACAGTGCACTTGCTCTGACTTTTAGTAAATTTACAGTGAAAGTCAGTCCATTCTCATCATCCCCGGAAGCTCCCTTGCCCCCTACAGTCAGTTCCTGTTCCTACTTCCTAGGCCACCGCTGATCAGCCTTCTGCTTCCGTAGATTTGTCTTTTCTGGACGTAAACCACACCATAACTTGTCATGAACTTATTTCCTTTTATTTTGCCTTTGCATCATACATGTAGGGCAGTTATTTATAACAGGTAGGAAGTGTACTGTGCTCCTGGGCTGTTGCACTGAGATACACCCCCCCCAGCCCTTTGAGACGGGGTCTTCCTAAGTGGGCCAGGCTGGGTTGGAGCTTTCAGTGCTCTTGCCTCAGCCTCCTAAGTGCTGGGATTTCATTTATCTTGTCCTCATCTTCTTCTTCCTTCTTCTTCCTCTTCTTCATCTTCCTCCTCCTCCTCTTCTTGTTTTTTTTTACCCACTGGGTAAAAATTGAACCCAGGGCCTCGTGTTTGCGAGGCAGGCACTACAGAGCTACATCCCAGTCCTTAAATGCCTGGGTTTCAGAGGTATGCCACCAACCCAGCTTGATCTCTTTTTTTTGTTTTTGTTTTTGTTTTTTTTGAGACAAGGTCTCACTATGTAGTTGAGACTGACCTGGATCTCACTGTGTAGCCCAGGCTGGTCTCGAACTCACAGCGATCCTCCTGCCTCAGCCTCCTGAGTGCTGGGATGACAGGCGTGCGCCACCACACCCGGCCAGTTTGATCTCGTTTTAACATCACCACGGCTGAAATATTTGTCAAGGAGAGGGCCTTCCGAAGGGCCTGAGGGGAGCAGTTCTGCCCCTGTAACACTTATCCTTCCCCACTCCCGGGGTCTTAGGACCTTGCAGTCCCAGGGCTCCCCAGGGCCCAGAGGGGCTGGTGTTTTTGCTGAAGTTTGCAAGACACAGTTGCTTCCACCACGTGCGGTCACACTTCCTGCCCCTCCAGCTGGACACGTGAATAACTTCTGTCCCTTTCTCCCTCACAGGGACTTCCTTCCCAGAGGTTCAGGAATTGTCACCAGGCGTCCGCTCATTCTGCAGCTCATCTTCTCAAAAACAGGTACGGTGTGGCAGCCAGCAGCCTCTGGGGAGTGAACGTGGACCTGGGCCTGGGCCTGGGCCTCAGGGCAGAATTTGGAGTCCAGGGCTGTGTCATTTGCGCTTGAACTCGCTTGTCCCTGTGTGCAGAAAAGGGTGAAAAAACACCTCAGTGAAAACCCACACTTCCACCCCAGTGTCCCCAAGTGTGACCAGGCTGCCGGGTGCCACAGTTGCTTTCTCAGTCACAGCTGCCCCGTTTTGCTGAACCCGTTCGAAAGCAGCAGTGTCCGTCAGCCCAGAACGCACGGCCCTGTGCCGAGCTGAGGCCCATGGAGAGGAGTCCTGACTGCATGTTGCGGGAGCCCGGGTCCACCCTCCTGTCTTAGCGCTTGTCTCCAAATAGCTTCTGCAGCTGGTTTTAGAGATGAGTGGGCCAAAGCTCAGCCAGACTGTTGCAGGTCCTGTAATCCCCTCAGCACCAAGCCTGACCCTCCTGACCCTCTGGTCGAAGGGACCCTCACCCCGGCCATCCAACCTGAGACTTGGTAGTTGACGGCCCAGGCTCGCCTTTATCTTCTGACCCCGCCCAGCCCAGTATGGGGCGGGTGTGTGGCTCCAGTGAGAGCACCGGATTGGCTCCGAACCTCCTCTTCGGGAACGCTGCCATATGATAGGCCACAGGCTGGCCAATGGGCTGGCTACTTTGAATCGGGCATCCAGTCAGCTCTGGCACAGCAGCAGGGTTCAGATGTTAACTCTGATGTGTGTAGTCCGCTGGTCCATTTTGGAATCTTGTTTCGCATTCAGCGATGCAGGGGAGGACCTGCATTTTTTTATGACATGTCGCTATTGAGCGTGGCCGCACTTTGGGAAGCCTGCCTTGGTGGGTGGCGAGGGAGTCCGCTCAGAGCTGTGTTTCCTGCCTTCCCAGTGGAGGCACCTGTGCTAGGCACCCGCCAGGCCCTTGCCTCTGCCCGAATGGCTGTGGTTTTGTGTTTTTTAGCTTATTCAGGGTCCACCTGCTGGAGAACAGATTGGCTGGCTTTGTGCATTGGAAGATGGCTGCCTGTTGTCATGGTGGCGGCTGGGAAGGGTCCCCTGTCACCCACACAGAGGCCACCCTCCAGCCGTGGCCCACTGAGCACTAGTGTGTCACAGTCCGGTCCAAGGTGGCCCTAGCTGGTGGACAGTGCATAGTGGCGGGGGCCGGGTGGGCAGGGCAGCCCGCTTCTCTGGGGAGGCGACCTTGGAGCTGAAGCTGCCGGCACCCTGGGCCGTGCGGTGGACGAGGGGGCTCTCAGGGCAGCGTAGGCACAGAGACTGAGTGGTTGATGTCCAGAGGGGACGGTGGAGGAACAGAAATTGAAGCCAGGTAGGGACTGTGAGCCCGTGAAGGCGTCTGGGATTTGCTGGTGAGCGGGGCTGAGGCTTCTGGATCCCCTGCCTGAGTCCAGTGTTTTAAGTGTGACCCGAAGCCAGGCCTTGGGACTGTGGCTGCAGACCAAGGTGTGGCTGCTAATAGGCAAGGGAGGCCAGAGCTGATGCTGTGCTGGCCGTGGTGGGGCCACCGGGGACGGGGGTGGGAGACAGTGGAGGAGGTGGAGGCAGCTGCATCCGGTGGGACGGGTGGGTCCATCTCCTGTGGTAGTGACCTGTCCCTTCTCTAGGGAGGCAGCGAGGGTGCTTAGCATGGTCCCCACCCCAGCCAGGCTGAGAAGGGCCTGTGCACTGGGTCCTGGATCTGCCTTGGTGCCTAGGGCCATGGAAAGCACCTAAGGCTGGGAGGGGAGCCTGGAGCCTGGGCAGGGCCAGAGGTGGAGGGCAGGGCCCGGCGGGCGTGGGTACAGGATTCAGGTCACCTGGAAGGCCCTGGAGTGTACACGGGCTGGGGGCGGGGAGAGGTGTGGCAGGGTTGGCACCTGGCTTAGGTACAGCCGTGGGGTGCCAGGCTGGGAGGGTGGGAATGTGCCGGCCCTGAGGGGCCCTGCGGGCTGTCATACTGCTAAAGCCTGGAGGCTCTGGGGCCCAGGCTGTGGCAGGAGGCAGCTCTCCTTTCTGTGCCTCGGTTTTCTCATCTGTAACCGGGGCTGGCCGTGTGCTCCTCCAAGCCCTCAGTGCCCTGTGTGCCGTGGCGCAGCTGTCCTCCTGTGGGCCTCGAGGGTGGTCCTCCCCTCTGACCCTGACAGTAGCAGGGCTGCCTGGCTTCCTGCTCAGATTGGACTCAGTGAACCACGATTTCTAACCGGCACGGATTAAAAATTACCCGAGACTGCAGCCACCAGGAAGCTCCTTGGGCTGCAGGTGAAGCCTCCCTTCTTCGGAGTCACCCTGAACCTCGTGATGCCTGGAGACTCTCCCTGCGTGACTGGAGTGACCCTGCCTGCGGAGCCCCCCATCCCTACCTTGACCTTCACCTTGGTCTGCACTGCAGGACGCGGAATTGCTGTCAGACTCGGCTCGCGGGCTTCCTGTCTGCCTCCAAAGCCTCTGCCCCAGGCGTCTCTGCCGCAGCGGCTCCCTCCTGACCCTCCGGCTCCCCTGTGTCCACCTCCACTGCAGTCTTGCGCCCCAGTCCCCAGGGCCTTCATTCCTCCCTGCCCTGCCCTGTCCTGCCCTGGGGCTTTTGTCCTGGTCTCTCCTTGCTGGGATGGCAGCACCCAGGGCAGGGGTATTGATCCACTCTGTGTGCCGCTGTCACCTGGTTTCCAGCCTAGGGCCCCAGCCACACAGCCTGAGTGTGCAAAGTGGGTGCGGTCGAGCTCCATATGGCAGCACAGACCTGTAGTCCCAGCTGCTCTGGAGGCTGAGGCAGGAGTATTGCTTGAGCCTGGGACTTCAGGACCAACCTAGGCAACAGAGCAAGATCTCTCTGAGAAGAAAACAAGAGAAAAAAATCAGCAGATGGCGTTATGAGCACTTTCTCCACATCTTCTCCCAGGGAGCCCCGCTGGGGAAGGCTCTCCCTAAAAACCTGACAGCCCCATCTTCAGGGCCTGGGTTGAAGCCTGCGATCCCCTTGGGTGACCCTGGTCATTTCCCTGCATGCCAGGCTCTCTGTCTGAGAGAAGACAGCCCACAGCCAGCCTCCGGGGAGTCTGAGTGCAGGTCCCCATGCCAGCGGACAGACGTCGTCACCTTCCCCGAGGCAGTGAGTCTCGGGGACAAGTCAGGTGTGATTGCTGCTTGTCCCGGGTCAGAGGCAGTTCGAGGGCCAAACAGGAAGGGGAAAAGCCCTCGTGCTGTCACGGTTGGTGAAAAGCTCTGAGAAGTCCCGTATGCAAGGCTCCTTGTTGGGTGTTGGATACTCACGGTCCCCTGAGCATGTCTGTCCCAGGTCATTCGAGACTGGTCGTGGCTGTCGCAGTGCCACGTTGGGGCCTGAAGAGCCATCTGGCAAGTGTTGCCCTTTTCCAGTCTGGGAGCAGGCGCCAGGCAGGGCCCCTGTGCGTAATAAGCTAAGACCCTGGCACCCTGTTGGTCTCACACTGAACCTGCTGTGGGCTTCACCGAGAAACTGGCATTCTCATCACAGCCCACAGGGGTACCTCCTCCGGGCCTGCATCCTTCTGCCCTGGGCCACCTGGCCCGGAGAAGGCAGTGGACTTGTGGTGTGGGGGCCCACTGTGGGTCTGGGCACCCTGTCCTCCCAGGGCCGACTCCTTCGTAATGAAAAGGTGGTTGTGTGCGCCACCCACTGGGAGAGCCATCGTCCAGATCTGGCCCTCGCTCCCATTCCCACACGGGCCTAGAGGGAGGCAGAAATGCTTTCTGGGAAGTACCCCTTTATCATAAACACTGAACCCCAAGTGAAGAGGCTGTTAAGCCTGGGGTCAGCCCAGGCAGTGCAGCTGCTGGACCAGGGCCTGGGGTCCCCTTTCTGCCCTGACTGCCCCAGAAGGAACGTGCCTGGGGTGGTACGCAGGTCTGCCGTGGGAGTGCTTGTCAGTGCTGGCCCAGGACCAGGGGAACCTGGCTTTGTCACCTGGGAACGCTGGGGCCAGGGAGGGAGGGGTGCCACAAGTAGTGGGGACCAGGACGGGCCGGGCTGGCGGTGGCATGGTGGCTTGACGTGGGCTCATAGCCTCTGGTGCATTCTTGGAGCTGGTGAATCTTTAACCAAATCAGTAGGGGCGCGAGAGCAGGGACAGGAGGGGAGCACGGAGCCTGCAGAAGTAGTGTGTGCAGGGCGACTTAGAAGAGTGCCTCGCCCTCTCTGGGCTCCCTCCGTGTCCATTGGGCGGGTGGTAGAGCCCCTGCCCATTCTGATGGCAGCAGCGCCAGCTGCCAGTTTCTTATGCAGATGGCGCACCCTGTCTGCTGTTGTCACCTGGTTTCCAGCCGCACGGCCTGAGTATGGAAAGTGGAAAGAGATTCCTCGCGTCCTCACGCAGGCTCCTTGGGATGCCCGTTTCACAGATCAGGAGACTCAGACCTGAGTGGGGCTCTGGGGGCCTGTGGTGGGCAGTGTGCCCTGGCTGCAGCGGGGACGGGGACCAAGCTGCAGGACTCAGGGCAGGCTGCCCGGCAGTGATGGCAGGAGGGAGAGGCTGAGGGCGGAGAGGGCCAGACCTCCAGACACCCAGGGCAGAGGCCTGCAGGCGAGGCTGCATCCTGGTCCCAGCGTCTGTCTGCACTGCCTCCCTCAGACCTAAGGCGGGGCCTGGAGCCGGAAGAGAGCTGAGACCATGGGGGTTGCCCGTCCATGTTTAGTAGCAGCTGCAGGAAGTGCTGCTGAGCGTTTCCTCCGACCCGTGAAGGCCCGAGTGTGACTGTCCTCGGGAACTAGGTAGCTGACTGCGGAGTGGGGCGGGGAGGGGGACCCTGGAGCCTCCCCCGGTGTCCTCATGGGCCCTGCAGCAGAAGGGCAGAGGCGAGGCCCCTTTGGGGGACCTGGCTGGAGAGCCACGAGCCCACCAGTGGGTCAGAGTTCCAAGCTCCACCCAGAGTTGGGCTGCAGCCACTGTCCCATCCCACCTGAGTAGGGACTGGGCGTGGGGCGGGGCTGTGCCCCCGTAGAGATTTCCCACTGCCCTCCTGGTGGGTGCTGGGGTGGTCTGTTTTTCCCTTGGCATCTCTTTGCTGAGCAGGTGTCTGGCCTCTGCTGCCGTCACTTGCTTCCCCCTTCCTTCTGTCCTTCCTTTTTCTCTTTTTCTGTTCTGGGCCTTTGCACTAGGCTACAGCCTCAATCCTTATTTGTTTGTTTGTTTATTTTTGTGCCCAGGAATGAACTTTGGACCTTGCCCTTGTGAGACAGGTGGCAGAACCATTGAGCTAAAATCCCTGGCCCACATATTTATCTTTTATTAAGGTTTTGTTTTTGTTTTTTTGGTTTTTTGAGACAGGGTCTCACTATGTAGTCGAGACTGACCTGGAACTCACTATGTAGCCCAGGCTGGTCTCGAACTCAGAGCGATCCTCCTGCCTCAGCCTCCCAGGTGCTGGGATGACAGGCGTGAGCCACCAGGCCTGGCTTATTAAGTTTTTATTGTGAGATAGGGTCTCACTGAGTTGCTTGGGCTGGACTCAAACTCAACAATCCTCCTGTCTCAGCCTCCCAGAGTGCTGGAATTACAGGCCTGAGATACGGCGCCTGGCTCCCCTTTCGTTTTAGCATTTCTGTAGGAGCTGTGATCACTGGGCTTTGAGACTGCTCTCTTCCCACCATTTTCCTAGGAAACTTCAAGCATTTGGAAAGTTGGGGAACTGCTCAGTGTCTGCACTGCACGGTGCACAAGTCTTCCATTTCCTCTGTCCCCCTCTGTGCTCTGGGGCCCAGGGACAGGACCCAAGCTGCCTTGTCAGTCACTTATCTGTTCCCTTCCTGTTGGTCTCAGCCCGGCTTTCAGACAGCCCTGATCTTCATCTGCTCAAGGTCCTCCCCAGAAAGCACGCGAAGGGCCTGTGTCCAGGTTGGGTTCCCTCGAACAGGCAGGCAGCGAAGGGACATCAAGGTGGACCTGGGTGGGGCCGGGGATTGAGCTCAGTGGTTCCGCTGCCTGCTTCGCAAGCCTAAGGTCCTGAATTTGATCCCCAGTACCAAAAAAAATAAGATGGACCTTGATGAGGCCACTAGAGGTGCCTGCGGCCCAGAGCTTGTGGGTGTCTTGGGGAAGGACAGATAAGTCTGCGAACACCCCTGTGACTTGCAGTGACGACCAGAGACTCAGACTCCTGTCAGAACCAAAGCAGAGTCATTGTTACACACCTGCCTCCCCTCTGGGCGACACAGCCCGCTGTTTGCTCATCTGGTGTGTGAGTGAGCAAGAACAGGGCTGGGGGTGTGCGGTCCAGTGCTTTGGACATGCTAGGCCCTGGGTTCCATCCCCAGCCCACTCTGCTTTAAAAATAAAAAAAGAGCCGAAGATGTAGCTCAGTGGTTCCGCTGTCTGCCTGGCAAGCACAAGGACCTGAGTTCCATCCCTGGTACCAAAAAGAGAGAGAATGAAGCACTGGTTACACCCACCGGTGTTTTTTTCAGACTCAAGAGTAGTCGTGACGTGGTTTGTGGAATTCTCTTCCGCCCACTGCATCTTTGCCAGTGTAGGTCGAGCATCCCCGATTTGAACATTCGGTGTGAAATGTGCCTCTCGAGTGCCAATGTGATACCACTCGTGAGAAATTCCGTACCTGGGTCCTGGTGACAACGGGTCACTGTTCAAACAAAGGGAGATGCAAAACATTGTGTAAAACTGCCTTAAGGCAGTGTGGGTAATGTGCATTTGAAATGTAAATTTTGAGTTTAGACTTGGCTCACCTCCCCGTGATAGCTCACTGTGTAGGTGGAAATATTTTAAAAATCTGAAAAAGTGAAAAAGTTGCAACAGTTCTGGTCCGGGTGTTTTGCATAAGGAATACTCCACTTGTATCCCTTTTGGAATCTCTAGGGTCCAGAAGGGGGCTCTGTTAGCCAGCTTTTTGTTCCTAGGACAAGATAGGTGACATATACAACTTGAAGAAAAGCTGTGCGCATAGCTCACGGTTTCAGAGGTTCAGTCCATGGTCAGCGGGCTCCAAGGCGAGCACGGCGTGGCAGAGGGGCACTGGGGAGGAAAGGTGCACAGCCACGGCGGTGAGGAAGTAGAGGGTAGCTCGGTGACCCACTTCTGCCAAGCAGGCCCCAGCCCCCTCAGCACAGCGCTGCCCCAATCCAGTCACCTCCTAAAAGCACCACCTGTAAACTTGTGAGCCTTTGGGGGACACAGTACATGTCACAAGAATGACTCTGGCCTCCCACATCCCTAAAGACAGACTGTGGCTGCTGCTTTTTTTCCTCTTCCTGACAAAGCGCTTGTTCCAGAAAGAAGCTTGTCTGTTTCCCACTCCTGACAAGACTGCTCCTCTGTCTCATTTTATTCTCTTTTTGGTTACCGGGGATCGAACTCAGGACCTTGTGCTTGTGAGGCAGACGCCGGAAACACTGAGCTAAATCCCCGGCCCTCTCCTTCTCATTTTAAACATTTTCCCTCGCTTTGCAGAATATGCCGAGTTTCTGCACTGCAAGTCCAAAAAGTTTACAGACTTTGATGAAGTCCGGCAGGAGATCGAAGCGGAGACCGACCGGGTCACGGGGACCAACAAAGGCATCTCCCCAGTGCCCATCAACCTGCGGGTCTACTCGCCACACGGTAGGGCAGCCGTCAGGGGGTGGGAACAGGGCAGAGGCAAAGTGACCGCCCGTGAGGACCCGCTCACAGAGCACACGCGTTACCCTGCTCTGGGCACAGGCACAGAACTCTAAGAAAAACCGCCCTCGCCAGCACGGTTGACTGGCAGAGCCAGGGGCCGTAGTGCACGCCTGGAATCCCAGTCCTCTGGGGGGCTGCAGCAGGACGATCACAAGTTCAAGGCCAGCCTGGGAAGTTAGCAAGACCCTGTCACAAAATTAGAAAATGACGACACCATGCATGGTGATGTCAAGCCTGTAATCCCAGCACTCTGGGAGGCTGAGGCAGGAGGATCACAATTGGGAATACAACCTAGGAAACTTAGTAAGAGCCTGTCTCAAAATTGAAAAAAGGGTTGAGGATGTAGTTCGGTGTGAAGACCTTGGGTTCCATGCCCATTGCAAAAAAAAATAAGAGTACAAGATGGCAAGCAAACAGGCAGCTGGGCTGTAGCTCAGTGGTAGAGCGCTTACCTACCATGTGTGACCTAGGGTTCCATCCTGAGCACCACCAAAAAGAATAAGGAGCCAGAAACCAGACTTTTCTGCAAAATTTCTCAACTTTAAAACTGCATTCTAACAGTAGCATGCAGCTGACTACAGCCTCTAGCCCCGAAGCCTGGCTTGCTACCTCAGATGGGGTTTTTTTTTTTGATGTTTTGAGACAAGGTCTCGCTATGTAGCCCAGGCACTTGTGGAGTCCTCCTGCCTCAGCCTCCCAGGTGCCGGGATTACAGGCGTGGCCTTCTGTGCCCTGCAGTATTATGCATGTATATATATCATACCGTGCACACCAGCACGGTTAGTAAAATCGCAGCATATCACAGGAACCATTTATTCCTCCTTTTGTGCGTGTGTGACTGTCTCGGATCGGAGTAGTATTTCTTATTTTTGGTACCAGGGAACGAACTCCGGTCCTTGTGCTTGCAAGGCAGGCGGCAGAACCACTGCACTAAATTCCTGGCCCGTATTTTGTTTTTTCGACACAGGGTGTCACTATGTAGCCTATGTTGGCCTTGAGTTCATGGCGGTCCTCCTGCCTCAGCGTCCTAAGTGGTAGGATTACAGGTGTGCACCACCACGCCTGGATTCAGAGTATATTTCTTGTCAATGCACCATCATTTGCTTCTAATGCTTCCTTGGCATTGGCTGAATGGGTGGATGGGCGGGCTAGAATTTAGCCATTTGTAGAATGTAGGGTCTGTGTCCTTGGACAGAGGAGGTGCAGGGTGTCTCTGGCTGGGACCGAAGCAGAGGGACTCCCGGAGCAAAGGGGTCCAAGGCTGCGGATGTGGCCGGGTGGTGGAGCACTCACCTAGCACGTGTGAGGTGCTGGCTTCAGTGGCGCACACCTGTCATCCCAGCACCCTGGGAAGCCGAGGCAGGAGGATTGCAAGTTCCAGGCCTGCCTGGGCAATATAGCGGCACCCTGTCTCAGAAAATAGAAAAGGGCAGAAGGTGTAACTCAGCCGTAGAGCGTCCCTGAAGTTGACCTCCAGTACCACAATAAAGGGAGGAGGAAAGGAAGGGAGAGAAAAGCAGAAGCGTGTGGCCCAGCAGGGACACGGGCAGCATTTCCGATCTGGCCCCTGGGGGACCTTGGATCTCGGCAGGGCTCTGACCACCCTCGCTCTGATTCCTCTCAGTGCTGAACTTGACCCTCATTGACCTCCCGGGCATCACCAAGGTGCCTGTGGGGGACCAGCCCCCGGACATCGAGTACCAGATCAAGGACATGATCCTGCAGTTCATCAGCCGGGAGAGCAGCCTGATCCTGGCTGTGACGCCCGCCAACATGGACTTGGCCAACTCAGACGCCCTCAAGCTGGCCAAGGAGGTCGACCCCCAAGGTAACCAGCGGCCCTCTCTCCCCGGCCCTGCAAGGCATCATCTGGGAGGCCACTGTGGGGCAGTTGGCCATCCCTCCTCGGGCATTGTGGCGCCCCCTGTGCCAGTGCAGAAGAGGGGCCAGTGTGCAGGGTCAGGCGGCTCTCAGTCACAGTAACGAACGCCCCGGTGTCGTCAGCTGATGAAAAGGTTGATTGAGCCTCAGCTTTGAAGGGCCTAGGCCAGTGATGGTGAACCTCTTCCCATTTTGTTTGTTCGTTTGTTTTGTTTTTTTTGGTGGTACCGGGGATCGAACTTGGGTCCTTGCACTTAGGAAGACAGGCTGCGGAACCACTGAGCCAAATCCCCGGCCTATGAACCTCTTAGCATTTTCAATGATGCAAACAGCCTGCTGCGGCATGCGTGCCATAGCTTCAGCATTAGTCTAGGCTGTGGCTGGTGGGCCTGAAACTGCTAGAAAATGATCAAGAAAAACAAGCAGTAAGGCCTCTTGTTTCCTTGGGGACTCTGCCCTCAGGAGGCAGCAGGACAACCAGCCTTGGTAGCATAAGCCTGTAATCCTAGCACTCTAATCTCAGCTCTTGGCGGCTGAGGCAGAAGGATCTCTACAAATTTGAGGCCAGCCTGGACTACATAGTGAGTTTAAGGCCAACCTGACCTGCATAGCAAGCCCATGTCTCAAAAAAATAAACAAGACTCAGCTATAACATTAGCCCTCGCAGGGCACAGGCATGAGTTCAGATACCCCCTCTGAAAGTTACTCGTCCTGCCCGATGAGTGGTCACCCCGGGTCACAGTGGGCACAGCTGTCCCAGCCACAGGGCTGCCGTGAGGGCGCGTCCTGTGATCTCCACACGCTGCTCAGGGGCCTGACTGCCAGTGCAGGAGAGGGAGGTATTAGCAAGCTGGCCAGGAAGTAGGGCAGAGGGGCCACAGCAGCCGTACCCAGGGGCACCAGAACTCGGCTTCTCCGGTGGCCACTTAGGGCAGAATCAGCTGCCCCAGCCTCCCAGAGTGCTGGGATTATAGACATGCGCCATCGTGCCCATCTTTTGTTACTTTGTTTGTTTGTTTTTTGAGACAGGGGCTCGCTGTATATTCTAGGTTAGCCTTGAACTCACTGTGTAGCCCAGGCTGACCTCCCACTCCCAGCGGTCCTCCGCCTCAGCCTCCCGAGTGCTGGCATTGCAGGTGTGCGCCACCACGCCCGTCTTAAACTCTCTCTCTTTTTTTTTTTTTGGTAACCGGGGATTGAACTCAGGACCTTGGGCTTGCAAGGCAGGCGGCGGAACCACTGAGCTAAATCCCCAGCCCTTAAACTCTCGTTTTTAAAGATCTTACTTTTCTGTTGCGTGTACATGTGTGTACATGTGCACTCGTCCCTGTGTGATATCGTCGTGACCACGCGTGTTACTCAGTGTTGGGCCCCTAGTGACTCACCCAGGCCTTTGTCCTGAACACTTGGGCTCTTCCCAGCCTCACGGACCGCTCTGATGAGATGGGAGCCGACGCCCCAGGTCCCTCCTCAGCCTCCTGCCTTTGTCCTGCTGCCCTCACCACTTCTGCCGGCCCTCGGGGTGGTGGCTCTTAGCGCCTGTGGCCCCCTTGCCCTCTGACACAGGGCTGCCCACGCTCTCCCTGCGGAATGGGAACAGGTGGGGGCCCCACGAGGCCCAGGTGTCACCCCTAACGGACGCCTGCCCTGTGTCCCCTCACGTGTGACACCGACTGATCACCAGTGCCAGGCTCGGCTGTAAGGATGGCCTGGGTCCTGGGTGCAGGAGGGGTCCCAGGGGTGGCCCCAGGGCCCTGTTTGTCTTCATGGGTCTCTTGGGAAATAGGGTCCAGGCAGGGGACGTGGTGGCTTCTTCAGATCCACATGGCCTGGCAGGGGCGGGGCAGCCCCCTCACGACACCTCGGTCCCCGCTCTTCCAGGCTTGCGGACCATCGGCGTCATCACCAAGCTTGACCTGATGGACGAGGGCACGGACGCCAGGGACGTGCTGGAGAACAAGCTGCTGCCCTTGCGGAGAGGTGAGGCCGGGGCCCGGGAGGGCAGTGGGCATCGTGCCTTATTGTGTGTGGTCTTAGGGTGCAAGGGATCTACCACTGACACACAACAGGACACTCCTGAAGCAGAGAGGTTGTGAGTGTGGGGTCCAGCCTCAGTGGTTGCCACACATAGCTAATACCGGATCCCCAAATACCTTGTCCACTACTGTTATTTTCCCTTATTTTTTGGTACCGGGGATCAAACCCAGGACCTTGCACTTGCGAGGTAGGCAGCAGCACCACGGAGCTAAATCCCCAGCCCTACTGTTACTTTTCTTCCTGATGATTTTCCTACTACTACCGCTATTACTACTACAACTACCGCTATTACTACTACAACTACTACTGTTACCATTACTTTTATAATGGTATTAGGGATGGAACCCTTTTTTGTTTTGTTTTGTTTTTTGGTACTGCAGGCACCAGAACCACTGAGCTAAATCCCCAGCCCTGGAACCCTTTTTTAAGATGGCATCTTGCTAAGTTGCTAAGTTAACTTAGGCTGGGCTTAAACTTGGAAATCCTCCTGCCTCGGCCTCCCAGAGTGCTGGTGTGATAGGTGTGCACCAGCTCACCGGGCTAGATTTTTCTCTTTTTTTTTTTTCTTCTCATTTTTGAACATGAGACAAGTGAAAGTTTATTTAAAGTGTCTGTTATATATCAGAAAGTGTTTCAGGCTTAGTGTATAAGAACCCATTTAATCAGCAATCCTCCAGAGGAGCTCTGTTTGCCTGCCTATTATATAGAGGAAGAAACTGAGGCACAGAGAGTGGGTCTACTCCCAGACTTGACTGTGAGCCCCAGTGCTCCAGCGCTGTGCTACTCCGTGACCCATGTGCATGTTTCAGGATCTACATGGCAGGGAACTAGACCTCCAGAAGATTCTAGAAGGTCTTGACCACTTCCTCACGGGGGCCGGAAGGCTATCACACATTCCTGTCTGTTGGGTGCCACAGCTGAGAGCCAGCTAGGTCTTTGTTTCCCTCTTCCGACCGTGCCTTCTCCAGGGTTCACCCTCTGCTGTGTCACCTGCCTGTCTCTGTGGCTGTCCGTGTCACCTTGACTTTTTCCTTTGCTCGTGACATTTGCTGCCCGGCCGCCTGGAATCGGTCTGGGGCAAACTTCAGGCCTCAGTCGTCACCTTCCCCACCTCCGGCACCACTGAGACCTGGAGTAGCCAGGGCACCCCGGTGAGAAGGGGGAGGGCTCGGGGGCAGATCGGCGTGGGGGGCTGGGGCTGCTGAGGAAGGTGACCCCACGGAACCCACGCCCTCCACGGCCACTTCACCAGCTCCAACAAGCACCTGGCATCTGGGGTCCCTGGCAGGTCTGAGAGCGCCTGGCACAGGCCTCTTCTGCCTCCTGCCTTGCCGACGCCCTCCGCGCCCCTGCTCTGGCTCCCTTTCTCTTTCCAGAGCGGCAGCTGCGGGGTGGCTTCAGCCAGGTCCTGGGTTTCATCCCCACCACCACAGTCACCACAGAAAACCAAAGGCCCCCTGTCCCTGGCTTACAGGACACTCCGCTCTTGAACCTTTTCCTTCCTCCTGCTGTCTCCTGCTCCGCTTGTCACACATGCAGGAGTTTGGCTTCACGGGCCTGGGTTCGGGTCTTGGTTCTCTGTGCTGGTCCCACCTCTGCATACCTCGTTTCCCCTGTCTGTAACGTGGGTCCAGCTGGATGAGTAACGCGCACCGCTGCTCTCCCCAGGAGGAACATAATAATGCCCACCGCAAAGATGACTCAGTACAACAGCACAGCGTGGTGGCACAGGCCTGTCATCCCAGCGCTCAGGAGGCTGAGGCAGGAGGATCACCACAAGTTCAAGGCCACCCTGGGCTACATAGTGCAAGGCAAGCCTGAACTACACAGCGAGACTAGCTCAGGAACAAAATGAAACAAAGAAAATGTAGTATGAATTCATGTGTGGATCACTGTGCCTTTTGTTACCTAGATCCACCCTTCTTTTTTAACATTAGCATACTACTAACAGTGACACCCGTGACCCAGTCTGTTTATTGAGCACCCACACAGTCTGCCACCGGGAGCAGTTTATTTCTCACAGTGCCCAAGGTTCATCCTTGCTGGGTGCCTGTGTCCATGGCCAGCAGTCCTGGCTCTTCTGGCCCTTTGGGTTGTGTGTGTGTGTCACTGGGGATGGAACTCAGGGTCTAAACGATGAGCTGTAGCCTCAGCACTTTTTTTTGAGACAGGACCTTGCTAAGTTATGAAGTCACCCAGGCAGGATTTGAACTTGCAGTCTTCCTGCCTCAGCCTCCTGAGTAGCTGTGGTTAAAGTGGGGTCATCATACCTGACCTTACTACTCATTTATTGGTGTGGTGCTGTGGATGGAACCCAAGGCCTCACACCTGCCAGACCAGTGCTCACCACCGAGCGGCCCCACAGCCCTGGTAGCTGTTTCTGTTCCTCAGCGCTTCCTCCTGTCCCCTCCCGGCCTCCGAGCGGTGGATCCTGAAGCTGACTTTGCTTTGCCCAGCTGCCTCCTCCACATTTGCATTGTCACCTGTGGGTGCTGCCTGGGGGCCCAGCTCCGGCCCAGTCCATCGTGGAGAGGCCTGGCCTTGCTGCACGGTCCCTGCCCTGACCCTCTCTCCCCACAGGCTATATCGGCGTGGTGAACCGCAGTCAGAAGGACATCGAGGGGAGGAAGGACATCCGCGCAGCCCTGGCAGCCGAGAGAAAGTTCTTCCTCTCGCACCCTGCCTACCGGCACATGGCTGACCGCATGGGCACCCCGCATTTGCAAAAGACCCTGAATCAGGTACAGCAGAGGTCTGGGGCTGCTGTGCGCAGTGGGGCAGGGCGGTCTTGGTTAGGGTCACCTGGGCTGAACCGAGGCTTGGTGGCCAGCAGCTCTGAATTACAGCTACGTGGGAGGCCTCTGAGCGGGTGGCCCTGGCCCACTGTTCAAGCCCCTGTCCTCCTGCCCTTCACTAGGAGCCCTGCTTCCTATGCCTAGAGTTGCGCAGACTGCGCCTGCTGTTCGGGGCTCACTGATGTCCTATCCTGCCTCCCGCAGTGCGCGCTGAGGGAGTCATAAGCAGGGGTGCCCAGTGGGGGCAAGCCCTACGTCTCCCACCAGGCCCTCTCTCATTACCATCCTGCCCAAGTCCTAGTTCTTTCTGTCAACAAAAGCAGGAAGGACTTTGAGAAGTTCCCCTTCTTTATCAAAAGTGACACAGCTGGGTGTCGTGGCGCACACCTGTCATCCCAGCACTCCGGAGGCTGAGGCAGGAGCATGACTGTGAGTTCGAGACCAACCTGGGCTATACAATGAGTTCCAGGGCAGTCTCAACTACATAGTGAGACCCTGTCTCCAAATAAACAAGAACAAGAACAGTGACATGGTCCCCAATCCCCACCCCTCTTGGTCCTGTGCGCAGCAGGATCTCAGGAAGCTCCGTCCATGGGGAGCCCTTCCTCACCCTGCCCTGGAGCCCCTGGCCCTGCCCCAAACTCCCAATGTGAGGCTGAGGGTGACGACATCATGCAGGTGTGCCGGTTCCCTGGGTACATAAACGGGGGGGGGGCAGGTGTGAGCTGGGGTAGGGAGCTGGTGTGGGGAAGAGGGAAGTGAGAGGGACCCAGGCGTTGCCTGGGTGGGGCACTGAAACACCGGAAGCCGGCAGGCTAAGGGAGGAGGGCAAGAAGGGGAGGAGCGCCCCCTGCAGGCTGTGAACTGAACCCCACCCCACCCGCCGTAAAGGCAGTAAGAAAACATCATCTGGCCCCAAACAAGTGAGTGTCCTCTTTCCTCCCGCCCCACGGTGGGTGTGATTGTCCCTACCCCAGAGGTGGCCTTTGTCACCTTTCTGGGCTTCCATCTTAGGGACGCTGGAGAAAGGAACGCGTGTGTACAGCCCCCTTCTACCCCTGCCCCTCCCTTCTCTCCTCTTCCTGCCCTTTTTCCCTCCTGCCCCTCCCACTGCTCCTGGGCTGCAGTTCTGGTCTGCACACTCGAGCGCTTCCCGTCCCTGGCCCCTGTGCACAGTGCTGCCTCCCTGCGTCCGAGGGGAGCAGGCGACTCCTGCATTTGCAGCAGGATGAGGGCCTGGGGTGCCGCTCACAGTGGAGCGCTGGCCCTGAGTGTGCCAGGCCCTGGGTTCCACCCCCAGCACCATGAAAAAATAATAAAATCAAAGCAGAAGCGTAGAGCAGAAGGAATGCAGGAGTCGCCTGCTCCTACCCAGCGGAGAGCAACACCCTGCGTACCTCTCCTGAGTCTGTCTTCTCTGCGGATGCAAAGCTGCCGCCCAGATGAGGCGCTCCCCGCCCTTCCTTCCCTGCTGCCCGGGGAGGCCAGTGCTTTGCCCCAGTGACCTGTTACCAGTCTGCCGGCCACTGTGCTGCCTGGGTCCGGTCACTCAGGTCCCTACACAGACTCACTGCCTCGTCCGTTTAAGCAGCTTCGTGGAGAGGCCAACTCCCTGCCTGCCCGAGCCCTCTGGGAACCCCGTGAGCTCTCTCCACAGTGCCTTCTTGCTCCTCAGGGCCGCTGAGCCTGCCGCCTCTCCTTGCCCTGCTGTCACAGTGCCCGTGCACGTGCAGGACGCTTCTGTCCTTTGCTTCGGGCTACAGAGCGAGCAGGGCTCAGGGCAGGCTCAGCCTCTTGCCCGTGCCGCCCCGTCTGACCTCCCGTCCGTCTCCACAGCAACTGACCAACCACATCCGGGAGTCACTGCCCAACCTGCGCAGCAAGCTGCAGAGCCAGCTGCTGTCCCTGGAGAAGGAGGTGGAGGAGTACAAGAACTTCCGGCCCGACGACCCCACGCGCAAGACCAAGGCCCTGCTGCAGTACGTGCGCCCCCGTCCCTGCCACCCTCGGGGTCCCTAGGCAGGTCCTCATCCCACCTGTACCAAGCACCAGGGTTGTCACAGCAAACCGGACAAGTGCCTGTCCCCGTGCCCGGGATGCTCAGGAAGAGGGGGAGGGGAACAAGAAGACAGAAAAGACAGGAAGATGCAGAGTGGAAATTCAGGGTTGGTGGTGCACACCCATAATCCCAACCACGTGGGAGGCTGAGGCAGAAGGATTTCAAGTTTAAGGTGAGCCTGAACGACTTTATGAGACCTCCCCCCACAGAGCAGGCTGGAAGGCCAGAAGCCCTCGAGTTGACCTCACTTTACAGCATGTCAAGTTGAGCTGGGTCAGTTTGCATACCTGTCAGGGTCACGCACAGACTCTTAGCAGCAACTGTTGCCTCAGAAGAAGCTGGTCATCTCAAAAAAAAAAAAAAAAAAGACAGCCAGGCGTGGTGGTGCACGCCTGTAATCCCAGCACTCGGGAGGCTGAGGCAGGAGAATCGCTGAGTTCGAGACCAGCCTGGGCTACATAGTGAGTTCCAGGTCAGTCTCAACTACACAGTGAGACTCTGTTTAAAAAAAAACCCAAATTGACAGAGGGGAAGAAAGCCAAGGCCTGATTCGAAGCCTGTCTATAAGGCTGGGTGGATGCCTCTATCTTGACGCTGATGCTCTCTTCTTCCTCCCAGGATGGTCCAGCAGTTTGGGGTAGACTTTGAGAAGAGGATTGAGGGCTCGGGAGACCAGGTGGACACGCTGGAGCTCTCGGGGGGCGCCCGGATCAACCGCATCTTTCACGAGCGCTTCCCCTTCGAGCTGGTGAAGGTAGCCACTGTCTCTGGCCAGCCTGCTCCTACTTGGCCTGGACTTTTAAATTTTCAGAACTAGGGATTAGGGCCGGGGATTTAGCTCAGTGGTGCTGCCGCCTGCCTCCCAAACAGAAGGGCCTGAGTTCGATCCCCGGTACCAGAAAAAGAAAAAGAAAAAAAAAATCAATACTAAATCCCCAGCCCATTTGTCGATTGATTGATTGATTGATTAGGTCTTGCTAACTTGTCCCGAGCTGGGTTCAAATTCACAATCTTCCTCCAAGATTACAGTCTACCGTGGGGCTTTCTGCCCAGGGAGCCCCTCAGAGGCTTTGGGTGTGTCAGTATGAAAATTGCATTTTCCTCGTTTGCAAAAACTATGCGTTCTTTGCAAAATATCATCAGCCCTGGAAATTCACAAGTTTTGCATCCATGGATTCGACCAAGTGCAGATCAGAAATAATTGGAAAAGGAAAATAAGTGCTATGTTGAACAGTTCTTTCTTGTAATTTTCCCCTAAACGGTACAGTGTGGGGTGGGGGATTTCACTGAGTGGCAGCACCGCGCCTGCCTTGAAAACGCAAAGCCCTCAGTTTGATTCCTGGTACCAAAAAAAAAAAAAAAAAAAGAAAAGAAAAGAAAATAGAGGTAAAAGTTTAGCTAGGGATGAGGGTTCACACCCATAAGCCCAGCGCCCTGGAAGGCTGAGGCAGGAGGATCACAGGTTCAAGCCCAGCCCGAACAACTTCTCAGTGTAATGAGAGCCTGTCTGAAAACAAAAAGAAGAAAAGGCTGGGGATGGAGCTCAGTGTGAAGGCTCTAGATTCACTCCCCAGTGCTGCCAAAAGAAAAACAAAATAGAGGTGAACTCACATGGGAAGACACGTGGTGTGGGTGGTGCCATGTGTCGATGACATAAGAGATAGCATCGTTCTGTGAGGGCAGTGATTCACACGCCTTTCCATGTGAAGTCATAGCCTGTGTGGTACATTTTAGGTAGGGCGTGATGCTTGTGGAAATGTTAGCTCTGGAGCTCTTTTCTTCTTTTCCTTCTTCCCTCCTTGTTTTTTTTTTGTTTGTTTGTTTGTTTTTGTCTTTTGTTTTGGGTTTTTGTTTTGTTTTGTTTTGTTTTTGGTACTGGGGATCGAACTCTGGTTCTTTTGCTTGCAAAGCAGGCGGTGGAACTACTGAGCCAAATCCCCAGCCCTTTTTTTTTTTTTGGTTTTTTGAGACAGGGTCTCACTATGTAGTTGAGACTGACCTGAAACTCACTATGTAGCCCAAACTCACTATGTAGCCCAAGCTGGTCTCGAACTCACAGCGATCCTCCTGCCTCAGCCTCCCGAGTGCTGGGATTACAGGTGGGCGTGTGCTACCACGTCTGGCCTCTTCCCTCCTTGTTTTGAGAAATGGTATCATTGTGAGGCCCAGGCAAGACTGCAGCTTGTGATCTTCCTACCTCAGCCTCCCAAGTAGCTGGCATTACAGGTGTACCCGACCGTATCCAGCTCTCTCCTCACCCCCGCTCCACATGAATCTCATGATCAGAAATCACAGGTCACAGTGCAGGTACATCGTCAACAGGCTCTTGATCCATACAGGCAGTGTGTGCTGGTTTCACAGCTTCCTTGCTGAAACCGGGGGTTTTACCTTTTTCTTCTTGGTTTTGACCTGTGAAATTTACTCTGCCCCATGAATTCAAGCACGTATAGGCTGTAGCCTCCCCTCACACCCCCTCAAATGGGTCTGCCTCTTCTCTTCTCAGATGGAGTTTGATGAGAAGGACTTAAGACGGGAGATCAGCTACGCCATTAAGAACATCCACGGAGTCAGGCAAGTTCCCCGGGGGAGCGTCACCATTTGGGGTCCCCGACCCACACAGGACCCCCCTCCAGCCAGCCCACCCCTAGACCTCCGGCTCCCCGACGGGGCGGTGAGGTTTTCCATAGTCGGGAGCCTCCCCTTGGGGTCTCCAAGGGCGTTGAGGAAGGGCGTGTTCTGGTCACAGGAAGTCCCTGGGCCCTGGGTAAACCCCGCTCACCAGGAAGTGAGCTTGCTGAAGATTTGCTGCGGGTGGGCGAGAGGGGGCAGAGCTGAGTCAGCTTCATCCCCAGACCAGGATGTCATTATTCCGACAAAGGAAGTCACTCTAGTCACGCAGTCTTCATCACCACCAGGCCCTTGGCTCACCCGGGGCTTTCCCAGCCATGGACTCAGGCCCCCGCCCCCGAGATGAGCTGGTATCTAGAAAATCGCTGACCTACTGTGTTTCTTTCTGACTTATCTTCCTTGCCCCTGGGTCGGGGCGGTTTTAGGACTGGGCTTTTCACCCCGGACTTGGCGTTCGAGGCCATTGTGAAAAAGCAGGTGGTGAAGCTGAAAGAGCCCTGTCTGAAATGTGTGGACCTGGTAATCCAGGAGCTAATCAGTACGGTTAGGCAGTGTACCAGTAAGGTATCAGACCCTTGGCAGCGCCTCCTGGCCGTGTGGAATCCGGGGGATGGGGGTTTGGTGTCAGGCCCCCAGGGCCGCCCAGCATCCGGGCTACCTCCGTGTCAGATTGTGGCCTCTCTTCAGAGGTGGGGACGGGAGCCAATGAGCCTGTGCCACCCCCCGGGGGTGCTGGGCCTCTGGAACTGGCCAGCTGGGTGCACGGTCACCCTGGGACCCTGACACCAAGCCCAGCATGTGTCTGGTGGAATCGGGCTGTCGCTTTGCTGTCTTCTGGGAAGCAGAGAGGAAGCCCGCATCCGCTGCTGGAGGCCAAGCCCCTAATCCTCCCTGGCCGTTCCCCCTCCTCGACAGACACCTGGCGTCCCCGGGCTTCCGTGGAGCCAGCCACTTTCCTGTCCCCATGGCACTGGGAAAGGCTGGCACGCCAGCAGCATAATGAGTGGCTCCCAGTGGCCCTGCCAAGTCCCCTGCACCCCATGCTGCCCCCCCGGCCTATCCCTGATCTGCCTGGTGACAAGTGCCTGTGTGCTACCACTCCCAGGCCGCTGCCTCCACCCTGGCAGAGTGTGCCAGGCCCCCGACAGGTCCTGTTTCGCAGGGCAGTGCGCTTGGCCGAGCAGCGGAAGTGCTTCCTGTTGGGCGTCTGTGCTTGCACGGCCACGGCGTCCCTGGTGACCGGGTGGGCGGGCAGTTTCTGCTTGAGACTTCTGACCCTGTCCAGCCAAGCCTCCATTTGCTTCTGAAGCTTCTTCGATTGGAAGAGGGAAGGGTACAGGCTGCCCCAGCGGCTTTGCCAGTTGTCGCCCCGTTTGTGTCGTCCGAGACCTTCGCTGTGTCCTAGCGCATCGGACGAACCCCCGGCCTCCGATCCAAAGCAGCTTCCGGGGCACATGTGGGCTCGGGCTCCTCCACGCATGGACTAACCAGCTGATTCTCGTTTCTTCTCTTTCTCTGTCTCCCGTCCCTGGTGTGTGGCCTGCACTGTCCCTGGGTATCTTTCTACCTCGTCCCACCCTCCGCATGACCCAGGACGGGGCTCTTCACCCCCGACATGGCCTTTGAAGCCATTGTGAAAAAACAGATTGTAAAACTCAAAGAGCCGAGCCTCAAGTGTGTTGACCTCGTGGTCTCAGAGCTGGCCACGGTCATTAAAAAGTGTGCCGAGAAGGTAACAGGTTTGGTTCTCATCATCCCTGCATCTGTCTCCCCATCTGCACCCCTCCATTTGTGAGTCTGACCCAAGCATCTGGAAGATTCTGCCTCGGGGGAGCACCCCCTTCCGAGGACCTCAACTTCTCAGCTTTGCCTCGGCAAAGACAGAACAGGGTGGGGTTCGTGTCACCCACATGTCCCCACCTTTGTCGTTTTGGGTACCGATGGGGACGGGAGATCTTCGACATTGCCAGATGCTTTGCGTGTATGAGGCCTTCTGGGTCCCCTATTTTTATGTGTATTCACTTTCCAAACTGGGGATTGAACCCTTGGCCTTTGCACTGAGCTACATACCCAGCCATCTTTGATGTTTTGAGAGAGGACCTTGCTTCGTTACTAAGTTGGCCAGGTTGGCCTTGAACTTGTGATCCTCCTGCCTCAGCCTCTCAGAGTGCTGGGCTGACAGGTGTGAGCCCCCCACACACCTGGTCTGCTGGGTCCCTTAGAGAAAAGTGATTCCCCAGCTGTCACCAAGCAGTGAAAACCCATCAACACGTGGACCCGTGCTGTTGAGGTTGTGGTGAACAATTTAACCATTCCGTTTTCTCCCACTGTGGACTGAGCTCAGACCACAGATGATGTGACTTCCCCCACGAGTGCTTGGGCCCAGTCACCGCTGCAGGTCAGGGCGGGGACGTGGGGGCAGTCGGCCAAAGCTGCTACCGTTGGGAATGGTTTCCAGCGAGGGGGGCCCTCCGAGGCCAATTGTTCAGATGCTGCCCCGGTGCCCTGGAGCAGGTGCTGCACACTCCAAGCTTGGCGTGGTCTGGGAGGGAGCTGCGGGACCCTCACCCGCCACTGGCTTCCTCTGCCATTCTGCACCCTTTGCTCGCTGGCTTGCAAGGCCACCTTGGGCGTGCGTGTGTGGGCACCTTCTCCCCTCCGCCCTCCACCCTCACCACCCTGTTCTTGTCTCCCAGCCAAGCGGCTGTGACACGGGAGCAGAGTGGGGTTGGGGGCCCCTCATGTCTGTCCCCCCACATTTTCCATTAATTTGCTTCACATGGCCCCGGACAACACGGCCCCTCTGCTTGCTCCCTAGCTGTGCTCCTACCCCCGGTTGCGAGAGGAGACAGAGCGAATCGTCACCACATACATCCGGGAGCGAGAGGGGAGGACCAAGGACCAGGTATGAGCTCCTTTTCTTTGTTGCTTGTTTTGCTGTTTTGGCTTTGTTTTTGTTTTTTGGAGACAGGGTCTCACTGTGTAGTTCAGGTTGGTCTTGAACTCACTATGGAGCCCAGGCTGTCCATAGTGAACTCTAGGCAGTCCTCCTGCCTCAGCCTCCCAAGTACGGGGATTACACACCTGGGACATCACCCTGGGCCAGCCTGTTCTCTTCTTTCACAGGTGTAATTTATGTGCTATCAAGTTTTTTGTTTGGTTTGGTTTGGTTTGGTTTTTTGACACAGTGTCTCACTGTGTAGTTGAGACTGACCTGGAACTCACTGTGTAGCCCAGGCTGGTCTCGAACTCACAGTGATCCTCCTGCCTCAGCCTCCCGAGTGCTGGGATGACAGGCGTGAACCGCCACGCCCAGCCTGTGCTATCAAGTTTTAATGAGTTTGGTTTATTTTGCAGTGCTGGGGATTGAACCCAAAGCCTTTCTGCTGAGCTCCGTCCCCAGCCCTTTTTTAAAATCTGGAGTCAGAGTCTCACTAAATTGCTTATTTGCCCAAGCTGTGCTTCAATTTGAGACCCTCCTCTAAGCCTCCCAGACAGCTGGGATTACACGTGTGCACCACCACACCCACCTCTGTTCTCGAAGCTTTAACAAATATATACAGCGTTGTGACTCCCAGATTCATCGTGATTCGTTGTGGTGAACTGGGGGAGCAGGTTGGCGATACAGCGCCTGCCTAGCAGGCACACAGCCCCTCCTTCCCCAGTGCCGGGATTGATCAAGCGCTCTGGGGTAAAGAGAGTCAAGCCTCAAAATTGCAGCCGCAGGGGCTCCCTCTGGCACTTTCTGATCAGCCTCAGAGTCTCCTGCTTGGCCCTGTTTCAGCATCGAGTGCACAGGAGTACAGTGAGCACAGGTGACTGTCACGGGGCCAGTGGGGGCCCAGTTGGGCGCATGAGAGCCTCTGCCCCTCAGTCCAGTCTGTTCTTTTTTGGGGGGACGGGGGTACCGGAGATCAAACTCAGGACTTTGCGCTTGCGAGGTAGACGGCGGCACCACTGAGCTAAATCCTAGCCCTAGTCCAGTCTGTTCTTAATGGGCACTGGGCCAATAAGCGGTCTGAGCCACAGTTCCCATCAACCAGCCTCACCCTGGGCTGAGGAGAGACCCGCAGGGTTTGAGCAATGAGCACATGCGCATGCGTAGGACCAGCCAGTGCCCCAGACTTCACCGGTCCTGGCTGGGGGTGGGGGTGGGGGGCCTGCACGTACGTGAGTTGCATTTTCATATCCTCGTGTTGCCAGATTATGGTGGTGCTTTGTGTTGGTGTTTTTAACATTTTATCCTCATTTTAACTTGAAAAGCTGCAAAAATAATAGAATACCTGTGGGTTTCATTATTTGTTTTGAGATAGGGTCTCTCTGTGTAGTTCAAGCTGGTCTTGAACTCACTATGTAGCCCAGCCTGGCCTCGAACTCATAGCGATCCTCCTGCCTCAGCCTCCCCAGTGCTGGAATCACAGGTGTGTGCTACCACACCCAGCCACTGGTATATTCTTTACTCAGAGTCAACTACTGTTACTCTTTCGCCTCCTGCTTTTTCATTTGTTCTATGTGTGTATTTTACAGTGTAATACATCAAGTACATGTACTAACGTGCCAGGCTCTTGTCAGAAGGCTTTGCACATTAAATGATGGACCCTGGTTGGGGGTGTCATTCAGTGGCAGAGAACCTGCCTAGCATGTGCGACACTGGGTTTTGGCGTCGGCACTGTAAAAAAGAAAAGGGGAAAAACAATGAAAAGCTGGGGCGGGCCGAATCAGTGCACCAAAAGACATCCGTGTTGCAATTTGCAGAATTTGGAAGTTGTCCATTTCCTCGGCAACAAAGGAGACAGGCGATTGTTTTGTGCAGTAGAGCCGCCGGATCTCATGCCACAGCTTGGGAACATGAGGCCCAGGTCGCAAAGCCCCTTGGCGGCTGACCCGAGACTCCAGCTCCAGTGGTCACCCCCGTGCGCCCGCCCAGCTGGGCTGGGCTCCGGCCTGGGAGTCGTCCTGGCTCTGCGCCCCCTGCTGGCGAGTGCGGGAAGCGCCTGGTGTGCTGCCCCTTCTCGCTTCCCTGGACTCTGTACTCACAGCGACCCCCCCTTCTCCAGATTCTCCTCCTGATAGACATCGAGCAATCCTACATCAACACGAACCACGAAGACTTCATCGGGTTTGCCAAGTATGTGCTTTCGGGGACCGTGGGGGGTGGGCGGCAGCAGTTCCCACGGGTTCGCCCAGAGGGCAGGGACCAGAGTCTCTCCTGGAGGGTATCTGGGTGAAGGACAAGGACATCTGAGGATACCGGATGCCTTCCAGGCTGGTTGCGGCCCCCTCCTGGCGTCCTTACTCAGTGAGGGTGAGCTGAAGGGTAAAGCGTTCCGTGGTTGCACTCTCTCCGCCGCTGCACCTCTCCCTCTCCCGCAGGACTTCTCAGAGCCTTTCGTGCACCAGGGTGCCGCTTGTCCCAGACTCGGGCTGCTCATAGGGACTGGCGCCCAGGTCTGTCTGCCTTCCGAGGCGCCTGGCTGGGGGCGGGCTCTGGTTTAGCAAGAATGTAGATGCAAGTGATAGTGGTCTTGGGTGTCACCCTTGTTCCATCATTCCTGGGCCCCTCAGCAAGCCTGAGCATCACCGGGACTCCATAGCTCCTAGAACCTCTGTGCGTTTCAGCTGGCTTCCTGTACCCACTTGATGGAGGCGGCCGCCCTCCTCCTGGGCATGCGCAGTAGTGGAGTGGCGTTCTTCTGGGCATGCGCAGTGCTGGAGCAACCGGCCCGCCCCCGCTAGGTCCCCTCCCTCCGCGGAAGGCCAGGCCCGCACCCAGCCTGTCCAGGACGCAGAAGGCCCAGAGCCGCGAGGGGGTGGGATCCAGGGTGACCTTGGCATCCTTGAGGGGGAGCCTGGGGCTGCAGTCTCAGCCCTGCAGCACTCGGGTTTGAGCGCTATCCATGCACTGAACAGGGCTGAGGGAACGTCCGTTCTGTGCTGGGCGGTGCTAGATGGATGGACGCATGAAAGAGCGAGCTTGCGTGAGATCCACGCTCCTCCCCCGGCCCTGGTGCCGGCTGTGCAGGGGCGGACAGTGCTGGCCCCCTCTTTGCCTCGCTGCTGTTTTCCTCACCGTGATGTCTCTGCTTCTCACACTTCATCCACAGTTCCTTCTCACAATCTCTCCTGTTTTTCCTTTGACCACTCCACTCTTTCCTCTGGATTCCGGGGCCTTCCCACTCGCCCCAGCTGTTACTATACCGAGCAGCTGGTCACCGGGTGGGTATTGCCTGCTGTGTGCCTTTGCCCTGTGTGTGAATGGGGGTGCCCTGGCTGGGTGGCCCCAGCTCCCAGGGGGGACGCCCCAGGGGCCCACTGAGCGGCGGAGCACTTGGCCTGGAGCCAGGGCCACAGCTGGGCCTTTGGACGGGACAGCACAAAAATACCTATTTTGTCCCTTGCCAGGGCTAGGGACGTGGGAAGGAAGGGCCTAGAGGCCAGGGAGAGGTGAGAGCAGGTAGAGGCCCGCAGGCCGGGAAGCGGATGTGGGACTTGCTGTCTCTTGGGAAGTGTTGGCTTTGTCTGACCTCCCTCCTCCGGACACTTGTGGGTCCACCTTCTGTGCTTGAAGGTTCTGGGCTTCACTCTGCCCTGTGCGCGCTGCAGACAGCAAACAGCCAGAGCAAAAGCCCTAAAACATTCTCTTGGAATGTTGGGGAAAATAACGCATAAAATTCAACCCTCGTTTTCTTCAGTAGAGGGGATTGAAGCCACAGCTTTTGCACAGAGCTACATCTCCAGCCCTCTAAAAAAAAATTTTTTTTAAAAATTTGAAACTCACTAATTTGCCCCAGCTAGACTCAAATTTGTGATCCACCTGCCTCAGCCTCACAGAGTCCTGGGATTACAGGCGCGTGCTACCACACCCATTCTACCTCCATTCTTAATTTTCCAACCTTCATCTAAACAGAAGTCTATTACACATCCTCACCCCTTCTCTCCCTCTCTCTCTGTCTCCCCTATCCAACAGCCAACTTCAGCTTTAAGGCAAAACCCCCAGCAGCAGTCACCTGGTTCGTTGTATGACCTTGTTCTGAAATTTCAAGCTAAAGCAAAAAGAAAAGATGGTCAGAGATTTAGCTCAGAGGCACCAGACCTGATTTGCAAACGCAAGGTCCTGAGTTCAATCCCCGGTACCAAAAACAAAACAAAAAACAAGAAAATAAGATAGATAAGTAACAGGAGATGGAAACTGTTCACAGGCATTGATGTGTTCTTGGGGTAGAAAATCTATTAGAATCGATAGGGGGCCGTGGGAGCCCCTGAAAACTCGGTAGCCTTTGTCTGTACCTGAATTACCTGGGCAGGAATAGGTGGGTGAAGGAGGGAAGAGGTCTCAGACTGTAGACGAATAAGGAAACTCGTCGTAACACACCCTGTTAGCCTTGGATGTCTTCCAGCTTGGGTCAGGAGCCCGAGATGAGTGACATTTTCACAGTCAGTAGCTGTCCCGATGTCTGGTCTCCAGGGCCGGCCGGCCTTCTGGTTAGAGCAACTTGTGATCTGGTACTGGGGTCAGGGTTGTGAAGGGAGGGCAGGAAGAAGCCTCAAGAATCTGAGCCCCTCCAGCCTGGTGCGGGTCCCCCTACAGCCACCTCCCGGCCCCTCAGGTGCTTTCCTGGACACCCCAGGGTGCACTGCACTGCGAAAGGAGCAGGCACTTCCGGGTGGCAGAGAGCAGGGCCTAGGAACCTTAGCTTGAAGAGACTCCTTTTCTTGCTCCGCACGCCCAGGCTCTTTCTCTTGGGCAGCGACACGTTCACAGGGGGCATCTGTGTGCCTGCAGCTGTGCTCAGTGGGCCCCCAGGGAACCAACCCCTACGTGGGCCACCAGGGCCTCTTGCTCCCCGTCCCTCCCGCATTGCACCCGCATGCGCCCTCTCTGTGCTTTGGTTGCAGCGCCCAGCAGAGGAGCACGCAGCTGAATAAGAAGAGAGCCATCCCCAACCAGGTAGCTCACCCGGCTGTGGCCGCCACTACCCCCGGGGTGGGAGGGCGCACCCGCGTGACCCTTCAGCACATGGGATGCCCTGACAAGAGCTGACCCTGGGGCACCAGGCCACCTGTTCCGTTGGCCTCAAGGGTCTGAGTGCTGAAGCTTTGGCAGGGCCAGGATGTAAATGTCACACTCCAGAGAACCCTGGGGACATCAGAGGTCAAGGTCAGGTTCTGGCCCTCGAGGCAGGGGCAACATAGCTGTCCCCCACAAGTGTCTGCAAGCAAACCCAGTTTCCTGGCTCCTGTCTCAAGGATGGAGGGCCTGTAGGTGGGAGCCATAGAAGGTGTGTTACTGCCAGCAGCAGCTCAGGGAAGTCTGGGCTGTTTTGCTTCCTACGCCCTGAACCTTGAGCTCGTGCCCCAGATAGAGGCCTTGTGAGATCAGTTCAGCTTTCTGAGAAGTTTCTGCCACCGTCTCCCCACTCTCCACATCAGGCCAGGCCAGGCAGGGCCAGGGTGGGGGCAGGGGCTCTGCTATTTATTGTGCACGATTATAGCGCCTGATTGAAAAAAGATAGTAACCACTGCATGATTTGTTTTGTTTTGCGCTTGCATAGGTAATACGTGTATTGTTGCTTTTTTCATTTTGAAAGATGATAATGAATTAAATAATTAACACCATGAATATAATTAATAGCATGTCATTTTTTTTTCTTTTGCTGTTCTTTCCCCTGCTTGTTTCTTCTCCCATCACTATGCTTTTCCCTGCTTTTTCTCCGTCCCCTCATGTCCCTTCCATCTCTCTTCCTCGGCTCGCTCTTCCTTGATCTGCCCACAATCCTAACTTTGCGTTCTCAAAGGGGGAGATCTTGGTAAGTACCTGCTTAGTGCAGTATAAACATTAGAGAATCTGGTAGTGGTGGAGACCCTGCCTGCCCCATAACATCCCTCTCCCCCGCAAAATAATAACAACAAACTAAAGCTCAAGCTAACCTGGAACCCCCATATCGCGGCTGTCGCTGGACTTGGTGTTGTCCTGGGTGTCTGCTCTCCTCACACAAACACTAACTTGACCGCTGCCCTTGTTGGACGCTCGGCTCCTCCAGCTCATTCCTGGCAGATTATTTGGTGCTCCATAGGTCAGGGATGGCAAATGCCACACACCTGCCTCCCCGCTCTCCCCTCCCTGTGGATGTGGATGATTTCGTTCAAGCCCTGCAGGAATTCGTTCTTGCTGCTGCTGCTTCCCCAGGGCGGAAATCACTCACTGACCAGAGCAGGTGTCCGCCTGCAGAAACTCCTTCCTGTGCCCATGGCAGACATGACTAATCAATCTCGCACTATTCTCCTTGTTCCATCTCTCCCCTTGCATGCCCATGGCAGGTATAGCTAATCAGGCCGGGCATTCTTCCTTAATAGGCATGTCACCAGTCCCTCTTGTGTGGCTGATGTGACTAATTGAGATGCTTTTATTTTTCCACATGCTGTCCTTCCTTGTAACCATGGCAGGCCTGACTAATCAATCAGGGACCTTTCCCCTGGATGCTAGCCTCCTGTTTCTAAGGATACTCTGACAATGGATGAGGCTTCTCTGTTCTACTTAGCCTTTGCCTGGGACAGACATCATTAATTGATCCTAGCACTCTTTCCTGCCACTCCCCAAATTCTCACCACAGTGGCCCATGCAGTTGCTGCCCCGAGGTGAATAGTATTTGCCATCCCTGGTGTAGATAATACCTGCTCCCTCTGCAGGGAGCCCTAGGCGGGGCCCAGAACCGGGTAACGGGGTGAGAGGCCCAGCCCTGTCAAGGAGGGAGCAGAGGCTGCTCCAACTGCAAGCATCTTTCTTCAGCTGAGGCAGTTTTATGCCAGCTTGGATACCCCTGGATTCTGGCTGATGCCAGTAGAGCCAAAGTACAGGCCTGGGCACATGGTCGGGGAGGCAGGAGGAACAGATCGGCCTTCAGCCTGTGGTTCCCTCTCATCACGTCTCCGGGTCTCCTTTCCCTCAAAGTCCCCATGACCGTGGAACAGTCTCCTCTCCCACACAGGCCGGGCCAGGTTCCTGCTTCCCCTACCCCCCAGAGGTTTTGTCTCCCCGGCCACAGCGCCATGCCTGCCCGGGACCCTCACCCCGGGAGGAGGCTGGCCCGGCCTCCCTGCAGACTTAGCGTGCTGCTTCTCGCATGCTGCCATTGCCGCCCCAGGCAGCCCCCTCGCGTGTGCCTGCCAGCCTTCCTGTGTCCGGCCTCGGGAGCCCCTCTCCGTCTCCTGTCTCCCCCACCCCACCCCACCTCCTTCTGAGCCCTCAGAAGGGCATTGCCTCTTGGGCACTAACTGGCCTGCCCTCAGGGAGGCATCGTCCCGCTTTCTAGCTGTCTCGGGGCTGGAAGAGAAGAGTGCATCGGGGTCTCTGCCGGCCTGACCAGCACCTATGCCCTGGGGCTTGGGGTGCTATCCCTGGAGCGGCTCCAGGCAGTGTCCCTCCCCTAGCCATGCTGGTCCAGGCCACTGGGGCATGGTCAAGGACAACTACAGCCAGGAGTACAGAGGCCCCGGCTGTCGGGGGGCAGCAGCCCCCTAGGCCCCTGTTTACGTCCCCCTAGGTGCCATTCAGTAACTACCCCGATCCATGAAGCTTTGACTCTGTGCCACACTGGGACTAAGAGCCGTGGTAGACAGAGGAGTAAAATGTGTCTGTGGAGACCCACATACCTCGCAGGTCGGTCTCACCTCAGTCTGGAAGCCAGCAGTGCCAACAAGGTCACAAGCATCCTGGTTTGCCTGGGGTGAAAGGGTGTTCCCAGAACACGGGGCCTTGGCTGCTAACACCAGCGCGCCCTGGGAAAAAGCCAGGCTGAGTGGGTCACCTTGTCCCCGGGGAGGACACTATGCCCTTGCCAGGAAGCCCATCAGTAGTCAGGAGCCAGCTACCGGATTCTTGAGCTCACTGGTTGTCTAGGACTTGGCCCGAGTGAGGGGTTCTAGGTGGCAACTTACACTGTCCCTGACCTTGGCAGGGTTTTGGTGTGGTCCCTGGGCCTTTGGTGGCAGCCTCTGCCTTCATGGCCACAAGCAGTCTCCCGGGAGGGCAGGGCCACGGCTGGTGGCCTGGCTGAGATCTGACAGCCCCCGGGCAGGTCAGGAGGTCATCATGAGAACTGCCCACCGGCGCGTCACCCGGGCCGGACTGAGCCCGAGAGGTCCCCCCCTGGGTGACCAGCCTCAGCCCGTCCCAGCTCGCGGAGGCCACACACAGCCTCCCCTCCTCCACGTGCTGCCCACTGCTTGGGGGCTGGGGTCCACTCACGCCTCTGTCCTAGGGGCCATGGGAGCATGAGAACATGGTCCCCCAGGCTACCTGCATGTCAGGTGAGTCCCACTCAGGTGACAGCCACAGCCAAACAGGCCCCACCGCGGGGCCTCCCAGCCCAGACCCCTGAAGTAGAATTTGGAGAAAAGCACCACGGCCAAGCCACAAACCAGCCTGGAGCACAGCCCTCAGCCCCAGGGCCCTCTAGGGCTCCCTGTTCATCCGCAGCTCTCAGGGTAGAAACGTCCCCCTGACCCGGTGACCTAGACGCAGATACACCCACAGGGCCCGGAAGGGAAAGCAAGGAGGAACCGCCCCACCTTGTGGGCAGCTCCTCCATCCAGGGACAGTGGTCCGGGGTACCTCGTCCACCCAAAGAAGAGCCGCTCCTCAGGTGTCGTACCCGCAGGCCGCTGTCTGTCCGCCATCTGTCTCTCCAGCCGGGAGCGCTTGGGGCTGGCGGGGGTGGCGCTGGGAAGGTGGCCTGGGCAGCAGGGTGTCCCCGCTAAGCTCCGCCCTCCCCCCAGGTGATCCGCAGGGGCTGGCTGACCATCAACAACATCAGCCTCATGAAGGGCGGCTCCAAGGAGTACTGGTTCGTGCTCACGGCCGAGTCGCTGTCCTGGTACAAGGATGAAGAGGTGAGCGCCTGGCGTGATGCGGGGCCGCTGCTGTGTCGCCCCCAGGCCGGGCAGTGCTCAGACCAGGGAGATGGGAGGGCAGGGAGCTGACAGACTGGATGTGGGCACGCAGCACAGCCCGGTCATTGGCACTGTGGGTGGGTTGCCCTTGGCATAGCCAGGCCGAACCTCTCTAGCCTCAGTTTCCTTATCTGTGACTTGAACAGAGCAGTCCCTGTACCTGCATAGTGCATAGCTCAGGAGTCTGTGCAGGTCTGTCCATCCAAGCCATAGGGAGGAGCAGGTCTTGGGGCAGTGGGAGCCATGCACCTGTGGAGTCCTGTGGGGGTTCGTTCACTCAGCCTGGGGACTTGTGGGCGGGGTCTGGGGGCCTGTGCAGCCCCTGCCTGCCTGGTGGGCGCTGTGTCCAGGCAGCTCAGCCAGGCACGACTGCCTGGCCCCTTCTCTTCAGCGCTGACCCACCCCTCCTGGTGGGCCCATTTCTGTGTATCTCTGTATTTGGGGTAGGCTCTTTTTTGTTCTGTTTTTTTCATTTGTTTTTTGCAGTACTAGGGATCGAACTCAGGGTCTTGCGCTTCTGAAGCAAGCACAGTGCCACTGAGCTAAATCCCCGGCCTTCTGTTTTGTTTTTTTGAGAGAGTCTCACTATGTAGCCCAGGCTGGCTTCACACTCCTTTCGACCCTCCTGCCTCAGCCTCCTAAGTGCTGGGATTACAGGCGTGCACCACCACACCCGGCTATAGAACTCTGGTAATTGCTGCATGGCTTCCCCTTGAAGTCCATGCCTTCGTGTCCCTCCCTACCCAAGGCCTCTGGCAGCCCTGGGAAGGGAAAGAAGGACCAGACCAGGTGAACGCTGGCTCCATGGTCACCCCTGGACAGAACCTGGTCACACAGCCACTGAGTGTGGGGACAAAGCACCCCGCTAGTAAATGTAGCACTGTCGAAGAAAGGCAGCCTGGTGGGCAAGGTGGTGCATGTCTGTCATCCCAGCACTCAGAAGGCTGAGGCAGGAGGGTCAAAAGTTCCAGCCCTGCCTGGACGTAGCAAGACCGTCTCAAAATTTGTAAACATGGGCTGAGAAGTAGCTCAGAGTGAGTCCTCAGTACTGCAAAGAAAAAGAAAGTGAGGGTGGTTTCTGAGCGTGAGAACTGGCGCTTGAGGTCTAGGGTTTCTTGGGGATCCCTGGGACAGCACAGTAGCTGACTCGGCCCAGGGCCTGTGGTGAGGCCCGGCTTCACTGGTGGCCTCAGAGCGGCGTCTGGGTCTCTTGCTCCCCCGGATGTGGAGGTGCTCCCGGGCCCACAGGCCAGACCCAGCCTGTGTCCTGGCAGGTGCAGAGAGGGGGCGCTGGAGCGTGGTCACTGCTCAGTTCCAGCTGGCCACAGTGAGGAGGGGGCTGTTTACAAGGTCCCATGGCCCACGCGCCGGCTGCGAGAAGCCACTGCCCTGTTCCTCGGCAAATCCTCGGGCCCCCTTGGGTTGGCACTGCCGTCCCCCCTCATTTGCCAGGGGTGGGGGACACAGGCCCTGGACAGTGACCTGAAGCGCCCCTCTGTGCTGTTCCCGGCAGTCACGTGGTTACACCACGGCTAGGGTTGGGGTGAAGTGGGCCATCTTGCTCCTCCCTGGCCTGTCCCTGGAGCCTTTGAAGCCACGTAGGCCTTGCACCGTGTCAGGGTCTGTTCTGGACCGAGGTGGCAGGGTCAGCAGAGCTGCCACAAGCATTCCCAAGGCCCAGCGAGCCTGCAGGATGCGACAGGAAAGCAGTGTGACGTGGGCCCCTCTCCTTGCCACAGCTGCTAAAGAAGTAGGGGGACACCGTCGTGGCTGCAAGTGGCTGGGGCGAGGGCTTGGGGTGGCCCCTTCTTCCCACCCTCACAGTCTGACCGGGCTGCTCCGGGCATCTCGCCTGGGGGCACCTGAGATGGACAGGCCCTGGGTTCGTCCCAAAGAGCTGAGGGTGGCATCCTGCGGCCCTGCAGCTGGGGCAGGGGATCTGGGCTCCCACGGACACGAGCACCAAGCCCTGCGCAGGGTGCCG